TCAATTCTATCACATTGTAATTTTATTATTCAGAAACACATTTACACCTAAACAATTGTTTAAACTATTGAAAACGAACACCTTTAATAATAAATTAGTTAAATTCCTGCTCAATAACTCTTACGGTTTAAATGTTCAATTCAACTTATTACTTTCAACGCTTCTCTCTGTTATACTATTTGTACTTCATTGTTTTGACAACACCGGCGGCATTGTTTTATGTAATATCGAAGTCAAGATGTATGTAATTTCCAAAATGTTACTGATTATCCATAATCACTCGTTCATAATCTCTAATTTTTTACTGATCTTTACTCTAATTTTAAATAAATAAAAATGGAGCATTATTTACAAATCTGTCATGTAAATGCACAATCTTTAAGAGCTCATTTTATTGAATTCAAAGACTTTTTTGAAAAAATTTTTTACCATATAATTGCAGTTTCCGAGACTTGGATAACCCCTAATGATACATCAAATTTTATAAATCTTCAAAATTATGTTGTCTTTCGTAAAGATAGGACGATGCGCAGAGGTGGGGGGGTTTGTCTTTATATACATGAAAGTCTCCAATCATCATTAGTGGCTGTGAGCACTGAGGGACCATATCCAACTGCTGAATTTCTTTTTCTCAAAATTCAAACTCATAATGACAATGCATTAATTAAAGTATTATATAAACCGCCGAATGCCACATTTGGAACTGAATTTGAGAATCAACTTTCATCCTTAACACAATTTTTTAACAATACTATAATGTTAGGCGATTTTAATTGTAATTTAAATACTACCTCTCCAATGACTGATTACACAGCCACACAAAAAAAAAGTACACGGGCCGGGGAATGAGACCACCATTTCTTGATGTATTTTGATACGCTGAATACGAATCTGAAGTCCGTTTAGCTCCATCACGTCAGGATTTTGACATAACCTCAAAAAACATAGCTTATTTTAAAATGACAGGAGAAATTTTTTAAATAATGGCAGATTTGCTTGAATCTTGTTACTCGGGGGTTTTTGGGGTCGCTGATTACGAATTTAACGTCAGATTTATAAAATTCAAAATGGCAGATCCAATATGGCGGACGAATTTTTAAAAAGTAGTTGGATTTTTACGAAAATTGGTATCTAGGGGTTTTGGGAGTCGCTGATTACAAATTTATCGTCAGATTATTCAAATTCAAAATGGCGGATCCAATATGGCGGACAAATTTTTAAAAAGTAGTTGGATTTTTACAAAAATTGGTATCATGGGGTTTTTTTGGAGTCGCTGATTACGAATTTAACGTCAGATTATTCAAATGTAAAATGGCAGATATAGTACGGTGGTCAAATATCTTTATGTTTCTACATGTGTCTGCATCCAGGGCACCTCCACGCGGTGACGGTGGGCAACGGTGTTTGTCCGCTATCCGGCTAAGTCCCTGGATAATGGCTGATTAAACTATCTCTACCAGTTATATTTCCTGTCCTCTTGCATATATATAATTTTTCTATGCAAACAAGGATCTTTCCAGAAATTTGGAAAACGAGCTCAATTCGTCCTATCACTAAAATATCAACTACAAAAACAGTAACAGATTTTAGACCGATTTCCATTCTTTGTGTCCTGTCTAAACCTCTAGAACAAATTGCATGTAATCAATTGACAAATTTTTTGGCAGACAATGACTTATTAGAACCTTTACAGTCAGGATTTCGTTCAAAGCATAGTACTTGTACTGCTTTATTAAAATTTACGACAGATATTAAGCTTGCTATGGACCAAAAACATATTACTATTGCTGTCTTTTTTGATTTCTCAAAGGCGTTTCCATCTGTTAATCATGACCTACTGATCCAAAAGCTGCACTCTTTTAAATTATCTAAATCAGTAAGTGATTGGCTTCAGTCTTATTTGGGTTTTAGATATCAAAGAGTAATTGATGGGAGTGGTAACACTTCAGAGTGGGACAGGTTAAAGTGTGGTGTTCCTCAAGGGGCCTCACTGTCAACACTATTGTTTAATATATTCATTTCAAATCTTGGAGAACGGCTTCAGTATTGTAAATACCATAAATATGCTGATGATTTTAAGTTGTATCTTTCTGGACCTCTATCATCACTTTCGCACCTGTTAGAAATGGTACAAAGTGATATTAATTATGTTATAGACTGGGCAAAGAATAATGGACTCTCTTTAAACCCTGATAAGACCCAAGCAATCATTATCTCTACAACGGGTGCTCCTTCTAATGAAATACTTTCCACACTTACTCCTTTGTCTGTAGGTGGAATTAAGATAAATTTCAGCAATAGAGTTAAAGATCTTGGACTGACGTTAGACCGTAAGTTGTCTTGGAGAGATCATGTTTATGGAATCTCGCGAAAAATTTACATGGCTCTGCAACAATTAAATAAAAATAAAGAGTCAATTCCAACACATACCCGACAATTATTAGTTAAATCATTAATACTTTCTTCCTTTGATTATTGCTGCTCTGTTTTTGATGACATTACCGATGAGTTGAATGACAAACTGGAGAGAGCATTGAATGCATGCATTCGATTTATTTATAATTTATCTAAAGGAGAACATATTACCCCATATAGAATTAATTCTAGATTATTGAATGTAGCTACTAGACGAAAATATTTTATGGGAAACTTGCTTTTTTCAATTTTTAATAACAAAAGTCCTCATTATCTTTTCAATTTTTTTGAGTTCAAAAATGATGATAAAACTATACTCAGTAGGCTTCGAGATAAAAAATACATTTTAAATATTCCACAACATCGTACTTGTAAAATGCAAAAATCGTTTGTAATTAGGGGTTCTAGATTATGGAACAAAATTCCTGTTAAGATTAGGGATGCATCGAAGCAATATATTTTTAAAAATAGTTTTTTTAAGCTGTTAATTGAGAGCGAGAATGAATTGCTTAATATTACTTATTGGTAAAAACATAATTGAATTATATCAACTTAAATTTATAATTTTTTTTTACACACTGTTAAAATGCTTATATTTTCGAATATTTTTATATAATTCTGAGAAATTATGAATGAATGAGAGTATATGAATGAAAGAATAAAAGGTTGCAAGATATCTTTGTGCAACTGTTATCTTGTTTCTTTTTTTTATCCATTTTTTTTTATTCATAAACTGTTATTTTTTTCAAGTTTTGTTATACTAGAGATTTGTTTTTATTTTGTTTTTATTCTACTTTATTATATATTTATCATTATTACTATCATTAAAATATTGTATGATTATAAAATATGCTCTATGTAATTGTTCCTTGGAGGGCTTATAAGCCCTAGGGACTTTATTATCTAAATAAATAAATAAATAAATAATTAATTAGGAATATTGAATAATATATATTAAATATTAAATTTAAATTAAATAATTTATAAATTATTTATTTATTAATTTAAATATATTAATAATAATTATTATTATTTATTATTATATAATAATAAAAAATAAAAAATTTCATTTAATAACAAATATTTTTATTATTTTTTGGTTATAATTTTTTTTTGCAAAATATTTTTTTTATTAGAGGCAATTGAAAATTTATATATTTCATATAATAGATTAATAATAATAATTATTATTTATTATTATATAATAAAAAATAAAAAATTTTATTTAATGATAAAGGATATACTTCCGAAGTAGGGGTACCTCCGATTTTAATAAAACTTGGTATACTAACGTATTTTGGTGTGCTGATTACGAAAATGATAGTGAAAATTGGCGCAAATTTGATTATCATGGTAAAAACCATAAAAAACACCATAAAATAATGGTTTTTTACGATTATCTCGTAAAAAACAAAAAATTTCGAAAAAAGTTTTAGACAAAAGTTGTAGATCTCAAAAAAACACACATTTTATGTTTTATGCATTTTTTACCAAAAGTCATTATTTTTCGAGAAAAATCCAAAAAACGAAAAACACCATGATAATGAAAACATATACAGCAGTCATGGTTAGACATATTATTTGACTCGTATATAGTATGGGGTACCTTCGATCTTAATGGAACTTGATATACTAACGTATCTTGGTACGCTGATTACGAAAATGATAGTGAAAATTGGCGCAAATTTGATTATCATGGTAAAAACCATAAAAAACACCATAAAATCATGGTTTTTTAGGATTATCTCGTAAAAAACAAAAAATTTCGAAAAAAGTTTTAGACAAAAGTTGTAGATCTCAAAAAAACACACATTTTATGTTTTATGCATTTTTTACCAAAAGTCATTATTTTTCGAGAAAAATGGTCCGAAAGTAATTTGCGGAAATTGTGGGGTGGAGTCTACAGCAGCGGTAAATGCAAAATAGTAAACACGGCCTTCGGCCGCGTAAGGTACTGCTCGCTTCTCTTTTTAAGAAATCTTGGCGAGAGGGGTGGATGTGTCCGGAAGTAATTTGCGGAAATTGTGGGGTGGAGTCCACAGCAGCGGTAAACGCAAAATAGTAAACACGGCCTTCGGCCGGGTAAGGTACTGCTCGCTTTTCTTTTTAAAAAAAGCCTTGGCGAGAGGGGGTGGATATGGCCGAAAGTATTTTGCGGAATTCGTTAGATCCTGACTAATGGTGAATATGATACTATATACGAGTCAAATAATATGTCTAACCATGACTGCTGTATATGTTTTCATTATCATGGTGTTTTTCGTTTTTTGGATTTTTCTCGAAAAATAATGACTTTTGGTAAAAAATGCATAAAACATAAACTGTGTGTTTTTTTGAGATCTACAACTTTTGTCTAAAACTTTTTTCAAAATTTTTTGTTTTTTACGATATCGTAAAAAACCATTATTTTATGGTGTTTTTTATGGTTTTTACCATGATAATCAAATTTGCGCCAATTTTCACTATCATTTTCGTAATCAGCGCACCAAAATACGTTAGTATACGAAGTTTCATTAAGATCGGAGGTACCCCTACTTCGGAAGTACACCCGAATAATATTTTAACACTTTATTTTTTGCATTTACCTGAGCTAAGACTAAATTTATTTTGACTTCTGCTAATTTTTTGCCAATGCAACTGCGAACTCCAATGGCAAACGGTATAGTCGCACCTGGATTATGAACAATATCAGAACCACGTTTCTCTAATCGCATCCATCTTTCCGGTAAAAACTTATCTGGTTCTGTAAAGTTGGTACAGCTTCTGCCACTTGAATACAAGCTCATTAAAAGGACTTCCTATAAAGTAAATATGATTATTATAATGGGTACTTTAATTTTTAAATAACTGGTCCATCCTTTATAAACAATTTCAAAAAGTTAAATTTTTTTTTATTGATTTTAATGGTAAAACATTTTAAAAATGATTTCCGAAAGTTTAAAACAAATATGAATTCTCTAAATCGATACCGATATGCAAAACTAACCACTCGGTTTTTGCACCTCTAGAAAACACGATTTCATGTTAGACGTCTAAAATAACCCTAATCACCACGTAAGCTAGCAACCATTAGCAGCAAGCTTGCCTTGCAAGGTGTACATGCAAGTTTAGTGGAAGAAACAAAATATCCTATTGCTACGTTCTTTCATGGTAAGTTTCTTACAAGCTTACTCGACAAACTTATTGCAAGTTTGCAGTACAAGATTGCTGTGTAATAGGGCGTTACACCGAAAACTTTTTTTTGATTTTCTAAAACCTTAACCCGAATTTAGACTCGTCTTGACCCACAAAATATGTAAGATTTTTTTTAAATTTTTGAAGGTCATTTAGACGTTGCTATTTTGATTTTTATGCAAAATTTATGCTTTTTATATAAAAAAATTCTTTTTTATTTTTGAAGGGTCATTCCATTATATTTCATCTGAAGTCGTTGCGGCCTATTTTTGGAAAAATCTGATAATTTGTAATAATGATATTTAATATCCGTACAATTCATTTTTGGCAAATTTTTTATAAAATTATTTGTATTTGCTTTGGAATTTTAATTTTTAAGTTGAGGTGCACGGAAAAAAGGTTATTTTGACAGCTTTGGAAATTTAATCAAAAAACACAAAAATAATTTAGATAGAATAAATTTTTTATTTGATATATATTCAAAATAGTCCAATTTACTTATATTAATTGATTTCTATGTTAAAAAGTCCAAAATATTATATGAAATTTGATTTTTAAACTTGCCTGTCAAATGCCAAAATTCACCATATTTTTATTACATTTTTCTAGAAAGTTAATAAATATTTAAAAAATTATTACAGCTTAATATTAAGTACTTTCAATGTACTTTCATATGATGCGCTGACTTTTTAATATTATGTAGTAGAAATAGGAAAAATTTTACTTTGAATGTTGAACTTTCCAGGATTTTCGGTGATTTTGAACACTTGTATCTCCTCAGGTGCAAAATAAAAAAATCCAATTTTTGTCTTAATATTTAAGTTAGACCTTGTTTTCCATTCTGTCAAATTTTGGCGATGGATTTCGAGCTATTTTATGGTTTTATTCATTTTTGAAAATCAGCTTCGAAAAACGAAATTGAAGGTTAAAATGCAAGTGGTTCTGCGATGACTGAAGTTGGCTGTCTTGATATCGATGTATTTGATTAAATTCAAATTTAAGTTTGCAAATAAGATTTGAACATTAAAATTCATAATAATTCTTTAAAAATATTATTTATAAGATTTATTTAAATCATTAAAGAAAATATAATATTAAAAATTGCTCAGTAAATAAAATTTTGATTTTTATTATTTTTTACATCATTGGAAACTCTTATGAATGACATTTAAAATTAAATAATTACTTCAAAGTAAATTTTAATTAAAAAATTTATTGGGAGTTATACTTTAGTATTTAATATATGACAATTACTATTAATTGCTCCTCACAATTAACTCCCAATAAATTTTTTAATTAAAATTTACTTTGAAGTAATTATTTAATTTTAAATGTCATTCATAAGAGTTTCCAATGATGTAAAAAATAATAAAAATCAAAATTTTATTTACTGAGCAATTTTTAATATTATATTTTCTTTAATGATTTAAATAAATCTTATAAATAATATTTTTAGAGAATTATTATGAATTTTAATGTTCAAATCTTATTTGCAAACTTAAATTTGAATTTAATCAAATACATCGATATCAAGACAGCCAACTTCAGTCATCGCAGAACCACTTGCATTTTAACCTTCAATTTCGTTTTTCGAAGCTGATTTTCAAAAATGAATAAAACCATAAAATAGCTCGAAATCCATCGCCAAAATTTGACAGAATGGAAAACAAGGTCTAACTTAAATATTAAGACAAAAATTGGATTTTTTTATTTTGGACCTGAGGAGATACAAGTGTTCAAAATCACCGAAAATCCTGGAAAGTTCAACATTCAAAGTAAAATTTTTCCTATTTCTACTACATAATATTAAAAAGTCAGCGCATCATATGAAAGTACATTGAAAGTACTTAATATTAAGCTGTAATAATTTTTTAAATATTTATTAACTTTCTAGAAAAATGTAATAAAAATATGGTGAATTTTGGCATTTGACAGGCAAGTTTAAAAATCAAATTTCATATAATATTTTGGACTTTTTAACATAGAAATCAATTAATATAAGTAAATTGGACTATTTTGAATATATATCAAATAAAAAATTTATTCTATCTAAATTATTTTTGTGTTTTTTGATTAAATTTCCAAAGCTGTCAAAATAACCTTTTTTCCGTGCACCTCAACTTAAAAATTAAAATTCCAAAGCAAATACAAATAATTTTATAAAAAATTTGCCAAAAATGAATTGTACGGATATTAAATATCATTATTACAAATTATCAGATTTTTCCAAAAATAAGCCGCAACGACTTCAGATGAAATATAATGGAATGACCCTGAAATTATTTTATTTTTTTTTAATTATGCGCATTACTGGTAGAGGTTACTAAATTGGTAAAAAAAAATTGTTTGAACTTAAAAAAAATGTTTGAAGCTTATTTTTATGACCTTAAATGAAAAAATCGGTCTCCTTCAGGTTCGAAGTTATTTTATTTTAATTTAAAGCTTAAGACACTATTTATTGACATTATTACTTTTGATTTGAAAAATTTATGCAAAATATTGTGTGAAATGATTCCTAAGGTTAATGTAATTGGATCTACATTAATGTTAACAAATTGTACTTAGAAATAAATATGCTTTTATTATAAATAAAAAATTTAAAAAAAACATGTGTTTCATTAAATTTTAATGAAATAAAGTAAAAATGAAACTTGAAAAATAGCTAGTTAAAAAGATGAAAAAATTTAGAATTTCTTAGTAAAAAATAATTGACAATATTCCTAAATTATGTTATAAAAAATTCTCTTAAAAAGCAAGGAAAAATTCTTTTTCTCAGACGTAAAAACGATTATTACATTTTATATAAACAATTTAAAGTTTTATTACGTGAAACAACTTGGAAATAATAGATATTATATTTAGAGATGAGAATTTGATGTCAATTATCATGGATTTTCAATCAGAAGTGTTTTATTAACAACTGGCCATATTACCCGACTGGACATTTTAGACACAATTTCCCTACTCTACTGATATGTGTACTATCAAAACCTAACCATTTTACAAATAATTGAGAACCTCGCCTTTTAAGTATTTTTTCAACTAAATAAACATCAGAAAATTTAACATTAGAAAGTTCGCTGCCAATTAACAGAATTGTCATTTAACCGAAAATTAAATTTACCGAAATGTCATTTCACCAACTTGACAATTAACAGAATCAGCATTTAATTGACATGTCAATTAACAGAAATGTCGATTAAGGGGGTAGTCTGGTGTTAAGGCCTTTTTTAGGAGCTTATATCAGGATAGTTTTTATTATAAAATAAAATATAATCACACTAAATCTTTTTACTTCGTTTTATTCTCATCATGAAGTGTTGAAATAAATTATAATCAATTATTTGTTACTAGAATTTGTTATTTATATTTAATATTAATGTTCAGTTAATCGAAATGTCATATTACCGACTCGTCAATTAACAGAATTGTCATTTAACCGAAAAGTAAATTAACTGAAATGTCAGTTAACCGAAACGTCATTTTACCGAAATGTCAATAAACAGAATTGTTATTTAACAGAATTGTCATTTAACCGAAATGTCATTTAACCGACACGTCGTTTTACAAAAAATGAAAACTTACAGAATTGTCTTTTAAGAGACATGTCATTTAACCCACTCCATTTTAGTATGTGAGTTTACTTTCTATTGGGTATCTACAAGGTGCTTTTGGATTAGGTTGAACCCAAAAGTGTCCCCCCATCCAATTTTGCTTTGAATTTTCATTCTAGTATCAGAATTGAGTAATTTGATCAAAAAATAAAAATCTTCTATGGAAGGAATAAAAAGAAAACCTAACTTTTTCGTAATTTTTTGTAGGTTAATTGTTCTAGCTACATCCAAAACAACTGTATGATTAAAATTTCAGCTTAAAATTTTTGAACGTTCACCTTAAGCAACATTTATATAATTATGATGAAAAAAAAGTAATTGTAAATTTATAATGCATAAAAACAGCAAAAAACAGCGTTTTTGTTGGTTTTTAATCATGATCACTTTATTGAATTATTTTAATTGCAAAGATTATAATATTCATTTGAAAGTTTATAAAATTCCCTACAACTTGGTCGTTTGATTAATCTTCTATCTTTAGTAAACAAGAATATATGGCCGTTAGAATTTTAGAAAACAACTTAAAAAACGTTTTCCTTGTAGTAATTGGGCCGTAACTTATCAGAAAAAAACATTATTCTTCATGAATACATTTTTGAAGCAGACTAAATTTTGAACTAATAGGTATGAGTTTTATTGTAATCCAATAATAAAAAGCAGAGATATAACGTACTAAGCATGTATGAACCTACTTGTACTGTCCCAGATAGCACCACTTTTTCCAAGAAGTTTCCAGGAAGTTTCCACTGGAAAGTTCGCATGTTTCCAGTGGAAACATCCTGGCAACTTCCTAAGAGTTGTAAATGTCCTCACTGCTTAAAGTTCACGATGTAAACTTCCTGGAAGTTTTCAATATAAATTTGTTGGAAAATTGCACTGGAACTTCTGAGCAATATTAAAGTGTAAACTTTCAGGAATGTTATTTTTTAATTTTCTAGGAAATTACAAGGAAATTTCCCTCAAAATTAATTTAAACTATAAATATAGTTTATATGCATAATAATCATATA